AAAGATGATAAAGGTGTGTGCTTCACAGGGGCCATTCAAAAGTCAGCGACATAAATACTTCAGAGATGCTTTCAGAAAGCAACTTTATCACCACCATCACCACCACCATCACCACTACCATCCCCACCATCATCATCATCTCCATTATCATCACCATCACCGTCATGATCACCATCATGATTTCTACTACCATGGCCATTACCACTACCATCACCAGTACCATCATCAGTGTCACCATATCTGTGGCTATCATCCTAATCTAAGATATTATCTTCTATGCAGGAGACCTCTCCCTATAACCGTACTTACTTTTCTCCTACCTATTTTCCACTCTCCACCCCAGTCATCCTTAAAACATAGCACTCAAGACATTTATATTATACCAATGTTTCCCATAAGAGATAGGGTCAAAAGTGAATTATTACCATTGCTTAAACTGTCAGTCTTGGGGAACTCCTGTCCTCAAAGCTCCCATGTGCCTTCCCACTCGAGGACCTTTTGATGTACTGTCTGCTGGTAACATCATTCCTGCACTTTCTCTTCTTTCTTTCCTTTCATGGTCACAACGTCTCTGCCAAACTGGTTAACTTTTATTGTCTCCCCTAGCCAACCCACAGCACACGGGCTCCTGTCCCTATCTTTCTACTGAAACTGCCTAGCAAAAAGTTAACCATGCACCTAGTGATGAAGACAGTGAACCTATTTCTGGCTTTATCTTATGACCTTTTAAAATATTTTAAAATTTTTATTTATTATTTTTATGTATATACATGTATTGCCTGCATGTAGATAAGTGCACCATGCTGTGCAATGCCCACGGAGGACAGAGAAACCGTCAGATCCCCTGGAACTGGAGTTATGGACAGTTGTTAGCTGCCATGTTGGGTGCCAGGATTTGAACCCAGGTCTTTTGCAAGAACAGCCAGTGTTCTTAACCACTGAGCCATCTCTCCAGCCCCCTTATGATCTTCTTAAGCATCCCAAATCCATCTGCCTTGGACTCCCCTGCCTCTGACTGTCCTTTTTCTTTCACTCTCCACTTTTTCTCTATCAGCCCTTTGGGAGCTGATTTTCCCAGGAACCCTAGCCAGAATTCTCTTCTCTTGCCCTACTCATTCTGCATGGATGACCCAGTCCTCTGGCATGGCATCCATTGTATGATGACACCCAAATCCTCTTCTCGGGTCCTTTCCTCTTTCTGAGCTTCTCGCATTCCTCCATAAAAGTGTTTCAAAAGCACGTCAAGCATGTGTGAAGATGAAATTCATCACTCTTTCTCTGTTCACGTCCCAATGAATGGTGCCAGCGTCCATTCTGCTGCCAGAGCCAAACCCTGCATCGTCCACGTCTTCTTCCTTTCCCCGTCTCCTCACATCTAGTTAATCATCATATTCTGCCGACTCTGCTTTCTGGATACATGCAGATTTGCTGACTTCTCTCCAGTAACACTCCCTGAGTGCAACTCAACTCTGCACTTACTGCTCACTAACAGTCACACCCTAGAACACCTACTCACTAACCTTCATCTCAGTCCCTTCTGCTCTGTTGCAGAGTTTAGGGGGGAAAGTGCCCTGGATGGTTTGCCAGAGAATTAGCAGTCCAACTTACAAAAGAAGGGTTCCTTTAGGCAAATAGGAAATGGCCTACTTAAGAAAACCTTATCTTGTAGTCCTGTCATAATGATCTACTAGCCAAGTCAACCCACTTAAAGTTCTGAGAAGTCTTGCTGCAAAGTAATCTGCTCACAATTTGCAAGGTGGGGGTAGGGGTGGGCGCTGCACTAGGGATTGAACCTGGGGCCTCACCATGGTAGACAAGTGCGCCACCACTGAACTACATTCCCAGCCCTCAGCATTGTTTAAACAAGCATTTCCCAAGCTTAAAATCCTTCATTCAAGCCCACCTTCCTCCTTTCCCTTCCCTGCTTTCTCTCTTCATTTTCTTCCCTCCCTCCGTCCCTCCGTCCCTCCCTCCTTTCCTCCCTCTCTCCCTTTCTTTTCTTCCCGCCCTTATTTTTAAAGTACTAGAGATAGAAAACAGGATCTTGTATGTACTAGGCAAGTGCTCTATTACTGAGCCACATCTCTAGTCCTAGGGAACACTTCTTAACATCTTAGAGACTACTATGTGCCATTTTAAAATACAAATGTGGGGCCGGGCATGCCTTTAATCCCAGCACTTGGGAGGCAGAGGCAGGCGGATCTCTGTAAGTTCAAGGCCAGCCTGGTCTACATAGTGAGTACCAGGATAACTGGGGCTACAGTGAGACCCTGTCTCAAAAAGACCAAAAAAAAAAAAAATACAAATGTGGTCATCTTCTCTGTTTGAAATTACAACAGATGAGTGGCTAGATACCAAAGAGTATAACTGAAGTTTACCATCTGGGAAATTAGCGGCCCTTGGAGATCACTAAGCAGAGTTTTAATTACTGGGACCCACTCTGTACTGCCTTATCTGTCATCTCTAATCCTTATAATAAAACCACAGCTGGGCAGGGTCCCCACGTGAGAAGTCTGCACAAAAATGCCATTCAGGTCCAAGCCATTCAGATCCATGCCATTCAGATCCAAGCCATTCAGATCCATGCCATTCAGGTCCAAGCCATTCAGATCCAAGCCCATACAAGCAATACAGATGGAGGCCCACCTGACTGGAAGTCTAAGTGGCTTTAAAGTCAGAGTTTTAAATAAGCATATGACATAAGAAGGTGATGTTTTTGTCAGTAGGAAACATTGCAAGCAGGAAAATTTGGGTGGAAATTTCTAGAATGAAGTCAGCTCTTTCTATTATACTCTACTCTGTCCCTGTATTCTCTAGATAATTGCTCAAATACTCGCAGCATTCTTCTTACGCTTGCGTCTGCTGCCCTTCCATAGGTCTGTTGTACCCTCCGCCCTTAAGTACTCAGGGCCATCATACAACTCTAGGAAATGCTCCCATGCTTAAAAGCTATGTGTAGGAGCTGGTATATGTCTGCAATAACAGAACTTGGTAAGCTGAGGCAAGAGGATCATGAGTTCAAAATCAGCCTGGGTTACAGAGTAAGTGTGAAGCCAGCCTGGGCTATGTAGCAAGTCTCTGCCTAAAAACCAAACCAAAACACACAAACATTATGTGCTGTTCCCTAGCTCCTGCCTAACTCCAAATTTCCCAAGTGTATGCTCCGCACTTTCTATTATTTGCTGTCCACTTTATGTTTTGTTCTTGACCTTCCTAAATGTGTCTATCTCATGCTACATTTGAAGTCTGTGCATTCACTCAAAGAGCCTCCCAGCCTTTCTCCACTGCCCCCTCCTATTCAAAAGCACTTGCTTAAATCCCATTATTCTCCAGGACCCTCTCACTGCGAGCTCCATAGAACGTACCCTGATGGGAATAATGAGATCTTTGCATTTCATTGCAATTGACCAATGAGGTGCCACCACAACTTCTGGAAATCAAATGAGTGAAGCTGGCAATGGACAATGGGTGGTGTCAACTACATGCAGAAGAGGTGTCCCCAAAGGAAGTCAGCAGAGGAGGGAGGGAGGCGCCTCCCAAAGGTGGCTGGGACCGACTCTCAGAGAACACTCGGTCTCCTTCAATAGATGCCTCACGATGAGCCAATGAGGCCCTAATCAGATCAGCTACAGGAAGCAGGAGTGCACTGAGCCAGAAGCAAGGACGAGGAGCTGAGAGCTCATCAAAGCATCCTGCCCTGGTGTGGGAATCATGGCACATACTGTGAACAGGAGACAGCACAGTGATGCGGCAGCCAGGTCACCACAGTATCAACCAACGGAGCCACTGATGGAATTCAGGGACGTCTTTCAGGGCCCTGGAAGGGCTGGTGACATAGAGAGAGTCTTCCCAGCAATCTGTGTGGGGAGACTTCCCCCCAAGGCAGCCAGCTTCCTTTGTTCAAATCATGAACCCTCCAAAGCAATCTTCTGAGGACCAAGGGCCAATTTCTCTTTCTCTTCCATCATCAGAAAGGAATGTTTAGAAGCAGATGTGAGAATCCTCACTCATGGGGCTGTTGAGAGGGTTTAATGAGATCATGTGTGTTGAGAAACTGATCACATGGACTCATACAGTCGGTGTTCAATAAATGTAGGAGATTAAAATCAACCAGTATATTGGACTTCGTGTGTGTATATGTTCATGTGTGTATGCACATGTGCCTGTGGAGACTAATGGTCCATGTCAGGTGTCTTCGTCAATCACTCTCTACCTTATTTTTTAAGACAGTCTCTCAATGAACCTGGAGCTCAGCAATTCAGCTAGACTGCTGGCCAGCCAGCCCGAGGGCTCTGCCTGTCTGTACTCACAGTCTCCAGTGCTGGGGTACAGCCATGCCATGCAGTATCTCATCTGGCTTTTTATGTGGGTGCTGGGGATCTGAACTTGGGTTCTCACACTTGTACAGCACACACTTTGCTGACTGAACCATCTTTGCATCCTGGAACTCCATTATTTATGACAGTAGTTATTCATGTAGCTATGGTGAATGGCCTTTGCAGCATCTAGATGCCTGCTGAAGGTGGGTGCCTGATTCCAGTCTTGAGATGGGAAGGGGTCACTGACATTCTCTAAATGCCCAGCACAAATCTTACTGTCTTTGTTCTTCTTTTTTCTTTCTTTCTTTCTTTCTTTTTTTTTTTTTTTTTTAATCAACCACCTGTGTTAATGCTAATTTCATCAGTGGAAACTCTTTGAGGGTAGAGGCTCTTAAGTCCTTTGCAGAACCCCAGACAATAATAAATACTTAGTGAGTAGAAATGAATTGCATCACACAAATGATCTGGGTGTTAACGAAAGCTTCTGCCTTCGGGTGCCTAGAGAAGTGGGGTATCCACAGCTGGAGGAACACAAGCCAAGAACATCTCCTGATGCCAACCTGCCTCCTGCCCAGAGGTGCTAGAAGAGGCCGCTGGGCTTGATCAAGGAGGGTTGCTCAGTCATCGAGGAAGAAGAGGGAGGGACAGACAAGCCGACAGAGCAGAGGCCTCCACACTTACCCGGATCTCCGTCTGCACCGTGCATTTGACCAGCTTGAAGTTCTTCCCTGGGTTGAAGCTGTTGCTGTAGAAACAGACCTTGAGGATGCGCACATCTTCCTTCTCCACATCTACTGGTACCACCACCATGGGCTCTGGGGGGCCCTCAGGCCGGCGTAACGTGCCCACCTTTACTCGGCTCAGGGGCTCAGACACCCCGGACATCCTCTCAGACAGCAGCTAGGGCCGGCACATCGCAGTCCTGCGGAGACAACAGAGAGACAGCACGAGAATGAATTTCCGCAAGCCCACGTGCCTCATCCCCCAGGCTGGGCCCCGGCAAGCTCCAAGGCTCATGGAACAACACATTCTCCTATTCCTGAAAACTCCCTGTGAGGCCTCCAGCTGCCTTGCCTGGGGGAGGCTACAGCACGAAGATGCAAAAACATCCAGGCATAAACTCCATACTTGGAGCTCACAAGCGCTCCAGGAGCCGCATCTCCCTCCGGTCGCTCTCCCCACACACTGCTGCTCCCAGGCAAGGGGCCCACACTGATCAAATGCAGCTGCGAGAGGAGGCGGCCTCAGCATGGTTCCAAGACACAGCAGAGCAGAAAAAGCAGGGAGTGAGACAGTGGCAAACAGCAGGAGAGAAACGGGGATGGAGGGAAAAGCTGAGAAGGAAAAGAACTGGAGAACAGGTGGCCCCAGGGGAAGGGACAAAGAGGACAAGGCCCAGTCACAGCCAGGCCATCAGCCAATGGCTGGTCTGCCCACAGCCTCAGTACCAGCCAGTTTTCATGTATGAGGCCTGGATCTCACAGGAACTCATCATGTAGGGCATCCCTCAAGACAGGAAGGACCTCCAAGGAAAAAAACCCCTCTGTCCCCCACGGTTCATGCAGAGGATCATTCTACAGGGTTGGGTGAAGCTAGCCTGGGCTTCTACAGGATACATCTCCTACTGATGACAGCCTATATATTGTCATAGAGACTATAAGAATCCTTGGATTTGTAATTCACCCTGAACCTCAGCAATGCTGAACCTAGCCTTTGGATCCAACAGGATCACCCAGGACTTGTTTCCTGCTGGTTAAAGCAGGGAATGGGGCCAGCGAGATGCCTCAGCAGATAGAAGTGGTTGTATACAGGCCTGAGGACATGAGTTCGATCCCCCTTGGATCCCACCAAGTGGCAGAAGAGAACTGACTCTGGAAAGTTGTCCTCTGAAATGCACATGTGTACACACACACACACACACACACAGAAAGAGAGAGAGAGAGAGAGAGAGAGAGAGAGACAGACAGACAGACAGACAGACAGACAGACACAGAGAGGAATAATAATTATATGAATAAAATTATAAAATAATAAAAAAAAAATATAATATAAAATAATAAGGGAATATCCAAAGGAAGCAAGGGAAGTTGTAGGTGTGCACCGGTGACATCAACTGGGGTCATCAATGTCCTTCAAGCCCTGTCCTCACTGCTGCCATTGGGTGGTGAGGCCTGGGCAACAGTATGTTCTTAATTTCTCACAATTTTTCTAACAATCACCCTGAAGTCAGGCATGATGATGGGTCACACCTGTAATTTCAGCACTTCGGAAACTGAGGAAGGAGGATTGCTGTGGATCTGAGAGCGGACTGGGCCGCCAAGTGAGACCTTATCAAAGAAATAAGAAGACAGTCAGCTTGCTGTAGAACGAGCTAGGCTCTGATCCTGAGACCTGTCTTTATAGACAAAAGCTCCTCCTCTCAAATGGAGTGTGATCTTAGGGGAGACATGCCTAGAGTCAGGGGTGAAATGACAAGAGTTGGCAATGTTAAGATGTAAATATAGAGTCAAATATTTCAAGGCTGGACTCTATGCTTTTGGAAGCCCTTGTCAAGAAATTCCAATGGACTCTCATATGAACATTTGAAAATTGCCCCGTTCTGACTTTTTTCTAGTTCCCTGTCTAGAATTTGCAATGCTAATTACTCTTGCCTTTACTTCTCCTTCACATCTCTTATTTACCAGTCAAAGACTTTCTTTTTCCCCTAGAGATAAGAATTATGCAATTTGGGAGTCTTTTAGGTAGACCCACTGAAGGGGTACTCCAATTGCCTCACCCTGCAACCCTGTTCAGCATGGAAGAAGCCAGAGTGGTCTGCGTCCTGATTCCCTACTGGCAATCTGGGTAACCTCTTCAGAGGATGGTGTGATAAGAATAGGAGGTAGGAATTTGCTAGGCAGTTAGGGTAAAAAGACCCCAAAGAAAAGTAGCCAGTTACTTGGCTCAAACTCACAATGTCCTTGGGCCTCTTAGCAACATACTCCATTCCAAAGGCCAAAAATGTCAAAAATATTTGGGAGCTTTTATCTAGTCTTTAAAAGATTATAGGGTTACCTCTTCAAAGAAGAAGAAAGAGTACATGAAGTTACCAGAAAAAAGTGATGGGGAGATATGGGAGGAGCTGGAGGGGAGGGAGTGGGCATGTATATGCATGTATGAAATTCTCAATAAATTATTTATTTAAAAAAGTATTTCATAAGCAGAACACAGACTAAATTTATTCATACCATGCCAGGAAGAAGGAGGGATTTAGACACTCATTGATTCTAAAGAACTATTCCTCTTAAAAAAAAAAAAAAAAAGTAGGGACTGAGAAGATGGTTCAGTCAGTAAAGTGCCCACTCTGCAAACATAGGAACCTGAGGTCAGAGCCTCAGCACCCTGATAAAATCTGGGCCTGGTGCATCTGTAACCCCAGCATGGGGATTGTTGGGTAGAGACAGCTGGATCCCTGGAGCTTGCTGGCCAGCCAGCTTAGTTGAATCCATGAGCTCCAGGTTCAGTGAGAGATCTTGTCTCAAAAATAAGATGGAGATTGACTGAGGAAGACATTCAAAGTTTACTTCTGAGCTCTACATACACATGCATGTACGTGTCACCCACATAAACATGTGCATATAACATACACACACAAACCAAAAAAAAAGATGTGTATTATGAAGATGCAAAAGAGATGTTGTTAGGATGTGAGGAGACATAAAACATGCCCCTTAAATCAGGGGCAGGCAGACAAAGGGAAACAAGGTTCAGATTTTACAAGGGCAAGCTACAGCTTTTCTTGTCAGTCTGACAAGACTGACATACGTATGCATTCTCGAAGTACAGCCATATTTATATGCCTCTCTGTATATCTGCCTATGCATCCCTCTTGAAATGGTATCAATACCATTTTCAATAAGCCTCTATGAACACATCCTGTGCTCCAGTGCTCTGCTCTGAGGCGGGAATCTATCTCAATTCCTTTTGACCTACAAGAAATCCAGAAGTGTTTGAGAGCTATCCCCAGGAATGTGCGAACTCTCACTGGAGAGGGAAGACACACAAAGGCAGAGTTGGGCATGAGGGAGCACTTGGGTAAGGCCATTCCATCCTGCTGGGAGCTCCAGGAGCGGACAGAACGCGTCCTGCCCAGAGAGGGTGGGATCTGGGAGTGTTTACACTCTACTCTTATGCTCAGTGTCCCTGGCATTTCCAGCCAGCTCTACACAAGTCAGAAAGCCCTAGGCACAAAGATGCAGAGCCAGCAGCTGGGAGACAGGGGCATGCTGAAGTGGCGAGGCCCAAGGGGACCCCAGAGGGGATAGGGGAAGCCGGTTTCGGATGATGTGATAAGGAAAGGTGTTTTTCCCTAAACAACATGCATTCAGTCAGGAGTACAAACAGGCAACAGGGCCACACAAGAAGCTGGGCCCCACCTCAGGATCTGCTAGGTCTATTGGACATCTATTTATAAGAGGTGATTTGCACACAAGACTTTCACAAAGATTATGAGATAGGAATCTGAGAGAGGGTGTGGAGTAACACAATGCCTGTCACCAGGGACTAGATCCTTCCTGCAATGGACTGATGTTTGTGTACCTTAAAGTTCACACACTCAAACCCTAACCCCACAGTTCTAGTGTAAGAAGAAGTAAACATTGGGAAGTGGAGCCCTGATGAGTGGGATTCATATCCTTTTATAAGGGACCCAAGAGAGCTCTGTCACCCTCTTTCCTGCCATGAGAGGTCAGCAAGGCACACCCGGGAAGAGGTTCCCACACGAATGCAACCATGCTGCCACCTTGATCTTGCCCTTCAGCCTCCAGATCTATGAGAAGTGTTTGATGTTTGTAAGCCACCCTGATTCTGGTATTTTGTTATAGCAGCATGAACTAGCTAAAACAGAAATCTTAGGGCCCAAACAATGAAGGCTAGTAACTGGGTCCTCGTAAGGCCATCAGGAAACTTGGGTCAACAGTGTTGCTGTGTCATGCAGGTGGGAACATGGACTCACAGCTAGAAAGAAGGCCATCACATCCACATCCACAGTTTATACCACATGGCTCTGAGTGTTCACAAGGAAGGAAGCAGGGCATGTCTGCAGTTATGGTAATCCCTGAGGGTGTTTCTTTAACCCAGGCCACATTCTCATCTAAGGGACCACCAGCAGACACTCCCTGAAATGCCAGGAAGTATGTGAGAGAGACTCGTTAAGTAGGATTAACCTCATCAGTAAAATTCAAGAGAACTGACTGGCGAGAGCTGGGGACCCTCTGTGTTCATGTGTCATGCCTGTCGCTGGCAAATGGGAAGAGTGGAGGAGATAATCTGTACCGGAGGACGGAGCAGGGAAGGTGGGAGCTTGTGCCTAGGTGGGGCCAGGGCGAAAGACGAGGACTTAGGGACCTCCAGGTCTGAGCCTCAGCTGTTACAGTCAGTAACACAGCAACACAGCAGCTAATGCTTTCAACTCGAGCCAGGGAGTAAAACTGTGAAGAAAACAGGGGGGCTGTAGAAGCTACAGCCACTTTTAGAAGAAAGCTTTGCCAAAGTAGACATACCCTTACCATACCATCATACCACACACACCATACATACATACAGCAAGGAACTGTACCCTTTGATTTACTCAAAGGAAAGTGAAAATTTAACATCTACACAAATGCCCACCCATAGATGTTTATAGCAGTTTTATGTGTAACTGCTAAAATGTGGAAGTAGCCAGAATGAATGGATATACAAACTGTGGGATATCCAGATAATGAAATATTATGCAACACTGAAGAGGGGCATTGGGGCTGAGAAGATGGCTTAGTCAGTAAAGTGCTTGCCGTGGGCACACAAGGACCTGAGGTCAATCCCCAGAACCACAGTAAAAACTCTAGCACAGTGGCACACACATGTCGTCCCAGCGCTGGGAAGGCAAAGGCAGGTGAAGCACGG